TCCAGTTTTTCATCAAATTATTAAACGAAGAGATTTTCGTAAACTTTTCTTTTATGAGATCCCAATCGATGGCCAACTCGTCGTCGAAATTGTATTTAAATAAACAGTAAATCAGTTTTGATGTGTCTTTTTGGGTCCACTTGTCGGACATCTGATCAAAGTTTGCTAATTTCCAGCGAAGGTTACGTTTCCAGTGTTGACAGACATCTCTTTCACTTCTATTAATTTGCGCCAAATCTCTGATTTCTTTGTATTGAATATTTTTGGTGAATATATGTTGAGTCAAGTCATCCGTATTTAATAACTGTTTCATGGCATCCATGAGTCGCGTGACCTCACCGGCACTCCAATTCCCCTTATCATAGGGCCGTCCATTGCGATCACAATATTGGTCGACGTTTTCCTTAGCAGACAGCGGTCTGCAGTGGAAATTAAAGGCAATTTTAGACCATTTGCGGCCATATTTTGAGTGCATGGCTATTATTTGGTGTCTCTCATCGGCTGTCAAATCATTTAACATTTTCAATGAGTGAAACTTATTTCTCGCCGTATCCCAGATCTGTCTGATCGTACGGTTAGGCAACCCATTGGCTAATCGTAGGAAAAACTTTTCACTTCTCGTGAAATCTTTCATCTTTTTGCGATCGCTTTTACTGTCCATATAAGAGAAATATCCCAATAATCGGGTTTTCATGTCTTCATCGCATTTGTGTTGATCGCAAAACAGTAGCCAATTGTTTCGTAGTATTTCCAACTCCTCTGAACTGAATCTCACTTTAATTACTTTCAGATTATTATCTTTCACTAATTGTCTCTCTTTTTCCCTAAACTTCTGGTTAGGTATGAGTCGATGTAAAGGAGAGTCACTAATGAGACAATTGTTGCCATTATTCACACCATTATAGTCACTATTAATGAGCGCATTATCATTGCATTCACGCATTGAATCTCTGGTTGTGTCCATACTTTGCACACATTTATCACTCACTCCTTGTTTGCCATTTGAGTTCATTTTAAACATATTTATTGTGTTTATAATTATTTGTAACTATTTTTAAAGTGATTATTAAAAGTAATAATAGTTTTATAGTTCATAATAATTGTGTGATTTATTATAAATAACTATTTGTTTGTCAATACATGTGTTGTTGCAGTGATTGTGTGATTGAATTGATTTGTGTTTGAATTGTAAACCAATTGTCGGTATAATGAAGAGAAAGGGATTTAGTATTCAATGAATTGATTGTCATTTAAATAGTCATCAAAAGTGTGGGAAAAGTGAAGAAATGGTCGACAAGTCGTTGAAGAGAAAGGGTTTTGTTGT